AATAAAAAATGTTGCTTTAAGCTGCTAAGCTTGTGGTAATTTGTTACACAGCACTAGAAAACTAATACAAGAACCAACTGCTTTTTCTTTTCCCCAGGTGTTACCCTTTTCCCATCGGAGTGCCTCCTAGCAGTCATGGTTGTATATTACACCTGACATGGCTGATTGGATCTGACCCAAGCTAGCACAACTAGAGTTTTTGTCTGGAAATATAAAGTTGGGGCTAAAATATTTGTTTGGAATCTCTTGAATGTGAGAGAGATATAACCATGGATGCTATTCTTCTGTCCAGCGCTGCCTCTAGGTTATACAAGGTCCTGGGGGAAATATTTTGAGGTAGGCAGGGTAGAAGCTATCTGTAGCAACAATTTGATTATAAAATTACAAAAATCATGGGCCCACGTGAAGTGTAGTATTTATTGATAAGTTTTGGAGCAAGAAAAGGTACTAATATAGATGTTTATTGTCCAATCAGTGCACGTGAAAAATTTTCATGGTTTCCAGGATCCACTTATTTGTGTTATTTATTGTCAAAGATACCATTCCTGGCTAATTTCATATATCCCACTGCAAGTAAAAGGTAGCAACACTATTATTATTCACAATGCTATGGCTCTTTAGAACTTTGTTTTTTTGGAACGTATTTTAATTGAAACAGTATAGATCGTCTTGCCTCTCCAGTTCCCTAATGCCATTAATTTAATGCTGATTACATTACTCATCTCGTGGCAACATCCACTGTGCTGCCCATGAATCCTGGCTTCCAGACTCTCTAATGTTGTTAAACTGCTTTGTTGATATGACCACAAATGTAAGTCTTACCCAGAGAATGCATGAGAACGTAAACAATCTGTTTTATGATCCTGTCAAATTTATCATTTAGAATTTTATAGCATTTATTTACAGAATTTAAAGCATTAATATAGAACAACACATCTTCCAACCATGTCTTCTCTTATACTGTCTCAGCCTTACTGCGTGGCTACAATGTGACCCTTTTAATGTTGGCTGCAGCCAGACCTGCCACACACATTACCAGTGATGAGGATAGGCAAGGAGCCCTGGGCAGAGCCAACATCACAACTGTAAGAAATCTCAATCACCATTAAAGCCAGAGGGTACCGAGGTATCAGTGATACTCTGGTCACAAGGGGGTCTGGGATCACTGGCTTTGCCCTTGAAGTTGGTATATTTAGCAAATATTTACTGAATGAGAAGATAGGTGGGATATGATGAGATGGGTAAATTTAAGTATTTATTTTTTAAAGTTCTTATTGAAGTTGAAAATAATTCCCAAATCACAAATGTTGTGAAAAGTTGGCGTAAGTGGAGCTATCTTAAAACGGAGTCAGGGCAGCCACTGCAGAGGAACTGCATTGCACGTCTTATTCCTTGATCCTTTGGAATGTACGAACTGGGCAAAATCACCTATGGACTGGGCCAGAGCAGCACTGGCTTCCCAACAACTGTTTGTAAAGCTAACAGGAAAGCAGGCCTCCTGATTACAAGAACTGATAAAGACAATCTTTAGAATCAGAAAACAGCCATATATAGCTAAGGAATAACTTAGCTTATTAGCACAAATGGAAATTTCTCCCTTATTCATGAAATTATTTCCCTTCATTTTCTCATAAAGCCTTCTTGCCTTCACCCCACAATAGGAACACTATCTGGGTTTCTGCCTGAATCAGTGCTTCCCAAATAGCTATTCTTTGATCTCAAATAAACATTTGTTGCCTCTCTCTTTGGCCTTTATTTTCAGGTTAACGGCATGCAGCTCAATGAATTTGTATAAGGTGAAGATAGCTGTGTAACCAGAACCCAGATTATGACAAAGAATATTATCAGGACCCTCAAAGGTCTCTTACGTCCCTTTCTAGTCACTATCTCCTCCTCAGGCCATCATTATCCTAGATTAGTTTTAGCTGTTTTTGAACTTCATATACATGGAATCAGAAAGCACATACTAGTTTGTGACTGGCTTTTTCAATTTAATATTGTATTTGTGAGTGACATCCATACTGTTCAATGTGTTTGCAATTTGTTTACTCTCGTTGCTATATATAGTATTCCACTGTGTGAATATATGACAATTTATTTACCAGGCTTATTTATTCATAAGTAATTGGAAACTTCTAGTTTGGGGCCATTATGAATAGTGCAGTGATTAGCATTATTATACACATCTTTGGTGAACTATGTGCATTTCGGTTGGGAGTATACTTAGGAGTGGAATTTCAGGTTTGCATATATTCCAATTTAATAAACTCTGGCAAAGATTTTCCAAAGCAGATGTGTCAATTGACACTTCCACTAGCAGTGTGTAAGAATTTGAGTTTCCCCACACTCTCTCCAGCACTTGGTATTGTCTGAATTTTTCATTTTAATCATTCTGATGGATATGTATTGGTAAATTACTCCTGCTAAAATGGAGTAAGACTACTGCAGCCTAGCTTTCCTACTGATTACAACTAAAAGTTCAGGACAAAATACAAAAAGCAAATACCTGAGAACTCTGAAGAGCACACAAAAACAGATTGGGGCGGAGAATCAAAACTTGCGAGAAATGCCCTGTGTGTTTGTTTTTCCTGTTTTCTCTCACAGCTTTGACCTGAGCCTTGGCACCTAGTGAACCTGTGATGGCAGCACAGGCAGCAAAAACTGAGAACAAAAACAACATATTTCTAGCTGGTTGAATGGGAAAAGGGGCTTTCTGTGAACCAAAGTTTGTGGGAAATATCTGGCTCTTTTTCCTCCTTTTTCCCCTCTGGGCTTTCACCTGGGAGCTAAGGCCTAGGCTTGGAAAGCTCCAACACCAAGAGAAACCCTATCTTTCTAGACAAGGGAAATGGGAACGTCGGCCTCTCAGGTCTGAAAAGTATAAAGGTAATACACATTTTTTTTCTCTCTTCTCTCACCTCTTTGTCCCAGTGTGGACTCTAGTCAGCTGCTGTAGCTATGCAGGCAGCTAAAACTCCAGGAAAAACCTCTTATTTCTGGCAAGAGGGCCAGGAAAAGGGGCCCTGCAAAACAGAGAGTATGAGAGGGATATCAAAAAGGGGAGAGCTGGAGAAGGGGACCCGTAACTCTGTGTGTGAAACCACATTAAGTTCCGTGCTCACACCTAAACTGAGCACCTGCAAGACATAAAGCTGCATAGCAAAAGATATGTGAACTCAACTACAATGTCAAAGTTCCAAAATAATCCCTGAGTGTTGTATATGTAGAACAGACTCAAAACAAAACAAAGCCTCTAAAAACTGACCTGACAGGGAACCAGCACCCATAGGAGGTGAGACTAAACTTCTAATATGAATAAAATTGGATTGATTGCCTCCTAAAATAAAATAAATCAACATTTCCCAAAGGCTTTTAACAGGACTCAGGGTGTATGCGACATAATATTCAACTTGTCCAGGATAAAGACCTCAATTACTCAATATACAATAAATTAAAAAATACGATTGGCTCTGAAAGAAAAATCAAATCAAAAGCTGCCAACCTCTAGATGACCAAGACGTTAAAATTATCAGAAAAAGACTTTAAAGAAGTTATTATAACTACAAAATAGTTGAAAACATTCCCTCTCAGGTATATCCTTGCATTTTTGTATCCTAATCCTTGCATAAGAATGTTTACAACAGCGCTGTCTCTAAAGACAAAACCTGGGAAATAAAAGGGCTAAACCGCCACACAAAGGAATACTATCGGCATACAGCAGGAAAGTCAAGAAACTACAGCTACGTGCGTGCAAGTATATGCAACAATCTTGGAAGAATTTAGAAGCACGTTGTTGAGAGGAAAAAAATTAACAGACTATTACATAACTATTCTTGTAAAGCTCAACCACTTATCAACTTAAACGTACACATACATACACTAATCTTTTTTAAAAAAACAAAGGAATCAACCCAAAATACAGAAGAGTGTTACCTCTGGGCGAAGGCAGAGGATGGAAAAGAATAAGCCAGTCAGAGAAAGACAAATGCCATGTGGTTTCACTTCTATGTGGAATCTAATGGACAAAATAAGCTAAGAACGAAATAGAAGCAGAGGCAAGGCAACCTGGAGCCCACTGACAGCGTCAGAGGTCGAAAGGTGAAGCGCTTAAGAAAAAAAACTGTATGTGTACATATCACATAGAAAACTACATATATATAAGCTATATATGAAATATTCATGTAATTATATATATACTATATGTATCATACACATAGACACGGACAACAGCGTGGCGATAGCGGGAGGGAAAGGGGGTGGGGGCAGGTGGAGGCGGGAAAAGGGGGAGGACGGACCGGGAGGGAAAGAGGCCGCTTGGGCGGTGGTTGCACGATGCAGTGTGCAGAAGTTTTGTTGAAACCTGTATGGCTTTGCGAACCGATGTCACCCCAATAAATTCAATTAAAAAATTTTTAAATTTTTTTGAATATTGGCAATATTCCAACTCAAAAATGACGTGTTTCCATGTGTACACTGCTTAACTGTATTTATGTATCAAAACCAATAATTTTCTAAACGACATCGCCTGTACATACTAGAACAAAAGTCTCCACCTTTTATTAAAATAAGTCTTCCAAAATTTTGGATAACCCTCCGTGCCTCACCCTTTAAGAGCAGACCGAGCGCGAGCCGCAGTTCCCTGACCCGAGCGGAATGCAATCACTTCCGCCTCCGCCTACTTGGGCCCGCCCCTCCGAACTGAAATACTTTCCTTTTGGGTCCTCCCGCCTGTAGGGGGCTCTTCAAGGCTTCTGGGGCCAAGGCGGCTTCCCGGCTGGGGTGTCCCTGCGGCGCCTGTTAGTTTAGCTCGGGAGAATACTTTTGCGTCGTAACTCTTTTGGCCAGGAAAAAATCGCACAGGCATCTTACTCTGGACAGTAACGTTCAAACTCAGTCCCGGCCGAGTGCCCTCGTTATCAAACCCTGAGGCAGTGGTGGCTAGGAGTCAGGCGGCACGAAGACAGCCCCGGAGTGCCGAAAGTCCCCGGGCCGCTCTCCCCCTGTGAAGACGTAGCTGCGGGTGGCTGTGGTGGAGGCGTTCAAGATGTCGACCAAGAATTTCCGAGTCAGTGACGGTGACTGGATTTGCCCTGACAAAAAGTGAGTTCAAGAAAGGTCCCGAATGGGAGCGGGGTTTATCGATGAAGTCTTTCTCAGAACGGTTTGGCATTATTTTCTTTTTACGATTCCAGCTGCCTTAAGCCGCGTTGAGGCGGCGCGGCGCGGGCTCTCGGGCGGGAAGGAGGTTCCCAGGCTCCTCACGAGGAGGGCTCTTTCGAGAGCCTTTGTTTTAAGTGTGTCTCCAGCGTTTCCTCGCCGTTTTGTCTCCAAGACAGCCCCTCTTTTTGGAAAGCGAGATGGCCTCCCCTTTACCTCCCTCCCCCCCAGCCAGGTTTCAGCGATAAGGGAATTTTCCCGGTGGAGGCCCGCTTGGTATTTGATCTCTCTCACGTGACTGTTCCCTGCAGAACTTTATCTTGTTCGACGATAGCGTCTCGTTCTTTCTACTCGCTTTTTGGCTTCTCGTAGTTCACCTTCTTGGGTTATTTTTTATTTTAAACGTTCCTTCGTACTGTACACATATGTATATATACGTATGCCCCTCCTCCCCCCCCAAGAAAACACACTACCCTTCTTTGGTGTGGGAAATGCTCGCTTTTCTCCCTTAAATTTCCCCACAAGAACCGAACCTTTCGCCCCATTAGAGCCGAAAGGCGTGAGCCCGGCCGTTTCGCCAGCTCGGCCGTGGAAGGCCTGCAGCAGACAAGCACGTGTTAGGAGGGCTCTGCTCCTGACGTTGTTGAAGTCAGCGTGCTCTATCAGATGGTTGGTTTCCATTGAAGGGCACTCAAATCGGTGTTTCTCTTTGTGAATACAGGCATATGGAAATTACTGTGGAAAGTAATTGTCAGAAATATTGAACGTACAACTCATGTTCAAATAAAAGCCTTCGATTTCTTGTGCCTAAGTTAGCCACGGACATACAGAGTTTGTAGTGGTAAAGAGGAAAAACTTTGAAGCAAACAGATCTGGGTTTAATTCCAGCCCTGTTGCTTGTTAACCATGTAACCTTAAATATATTTAACTTTGCTTTAAAAAAAAAAATAGAATGGCTTCCTTATAATAAATACATGAAATCACATAATGTCTGGAGAGCAGCGATATGTAGCAAATACTCATTGACAGCTATTGATAGTAGTTTTAGAAAATTAAGTCGCCTAATGTCATTAAAGTAGATTAAGCCCTTACTTCCCCAGCATTTGTCTTCTAACCACATTTTAAGCAGTTTTAATGAAACATTATGTTTTTTTTATGTAAATAAATTGATGGTTCTCAGTTGCATTATATTCATAGCTGTACTATGTATTGTAGCCACAATCTCTAACCCAAATGTTAATCGATAGTTGAAATAAATAATTTATATATTTGCACAGTGGAATATTATACAGTAATTAAAACGGAGGGTCTAAATTTACATGGAAAATCATCAGTGAATCTCCAAACAAAGTGTTGAACAAATAAAAGCAGATGAAAAAATATTAAATCGGTTGCATAAAGAGTAAGATGACTTGAAGGATTTCAAGTCTATCTGAAAATACTGAACAAGAACAAGAGTGATATATATGAATAGCATTGCTCCGAGTGGTAGGACTATTTGAAAACATTTAAAGGTATTCAACAACTTCTCTTGTGGTGTTGGTCACTTGTAGAATACTGTGCTTTTGACAGCCTCATTAATGCAACACACCCAAATATTTGAAGGAGGTCTCTCTAAGAGAGTGAATTTCAACTCAGTTACAAATATGTGAATAGAATATTGTTTCTGCAATCTGTATAAATCCAGAAAACATTTTTCAGAATATGTTTGGGTCAAAACAGATATTCCTTGAGGGGGGGTTCCAAAAATTTATTTGGAGTGCTTTAGTTTAGTGGTAATTCCATACTTAACATCTTAATTTTATTCTAGTCTAATAACTAAAAAGTAAAATTTTTTAAAATTTAAGCTTTACATGCGAGTCAGAGCATTTAACATCCTGTTTACTGATATGCATATGCACTGTTCAGACCATGTTAGTAAATCCAGTAATTTTTTGTTTTTATTTAAGTTTGTTGAATACAAGCATAAAGTGATACTGTTACTCCATGTATTGAGGTTATTGGTTATGACTGGTTTTTTTTTAAACTAGGTTTCAGAGGTTTGATAACCCAAAAAACTCCACTTTCTTATAATTATTGAATCTACTTAAGTTTTTAGTCAGTACAACCCTTCTATCTTCCTTTCCTTACTGTCCTACCTCCTTACTGTAAAAAGAGTATCAAGATCCATGAAGCCCTCTATGATTTATTCATTTTCTCCCCATTAGTCCACCCTTAGGATTTTGTATTTCTTATAATACTTAACACCTTTGTGGGTATATCTTTATTTTCTCTACTGGGAGTTTCTTTGAAGTTTTTTGGAACTCCCTGGTGCCTCATCAGTATTTGTATGTGGAGTCATACCTTCCCTCAGCTTTGCAAGGGGTTTTCATTAAAATTAGTTATGTTGCCCTGGCTGGTGTGGCTCAGTTGATTGGAGCTTCATCCTTTGCACCAGAAGGTTGCAGTTTGATTCCTGGTCAGGGCACATACCTAGGTTGCCGGCTTGATCCCCAGGGCTGGGTCATATACAGGAGGCAGCCGAACTTTTTTCTCCCTTTCTCTCTCTCTCTCCCCTCCTCTCTCCTTCTCCCTCTTCTTCCTCCCTCCTCCCCCATCTTCCCTCTCTAAAATCAATTTTTAAAAATTATAGTTATATGCCGCTTAACCACGGATATGTTAAAAGAAATGTGTTATTAGGCAATTTTGTCGTTGTGCAAATACAAAGTTAACTTACACAAACCTAGGTGGTATAGCCTACTATACACCTAGGTTATATGGTATATAGCCCATTGCTCCTAGGCTACAAGCCTGTATAGCATGTTACTGCACAAAACAACACAAGATTAAATCAACTAGTAACGTCATTTATTGTCATTAACAAAAATTATGTACTATACATAACTGTGCTATACTTTTTTTTAATCTTTATTGATACCAGAGAGTGGAAGGGAGAGGGGGAGAGAGAGATAGAAACATCAATGGTAAGAGAGTTGTCACTGATCTGCTGACTTCTGCACGCCCCCGACTGGGGATCAAGTCTGCAACCAGGCATGTGCCCCGACTAGGAATTGAACTGTGATCTCCTGGATCCTAGGTTGATGTTCAACTGCTGAGCCACACTTGGCTGTGCTGTGCTATACTTTTATACTACTTGCAACGCAGTAGGTTTGTTTACACCAGCATCACCACAAACACAAGTAATGTGTTGCACTACCAAGTCACTTGGCAATAGGAATTTTCCAGCTCCATTATATTATGGAACCACTGTTGTGTATACTGTCTATAGCTGACCAAAACATCATTATTTGACGCATGACTGTAATGATGTGCTAATAGGACACTGAGTCACAGAGATCCTAAGGGACTCACTAGGATCACATAACTAGAAAGTGAGATACTGATTTTCTTATCCTGGACTTGTGACTTCAAATCCTATATTTTTCCACCTAAATTACGAGGATTTTTTTTTGGTAGTTAATATTGACATTCACTACATGGCTTTAGAATTACTTAGATGACATTGGAATTTCTGGATCCAGGTATATAGTGAGGGAGAGCACATTAAAAAGTTGTGTGTGTGTGTGTATATATATATATATATATTTTTTTTAATATCTCTAAATATTTTTTATTTTATTTTCAGGTGTGGAAATGTAAACTTTGCTAGAAGAACCAGCTGTAATAGATGTGGTCGGGGTAAGCATTTGAGGAGGCTTTTATTAGGACAATATATACAGATAATTTCATTATTTCCCCAGATTCATATTGCATAATTTTTTTATTTTCAGAGAAAACAACTGAGGCTAAGATGATGAAAGCAGGGGGCACTGAAATAGGAAAGACACTTGCAGAGAAGAGCCGAGGCCTATTTAGTGCTAATGACTGGCAGTGTAAAACGTATGTGTTTCTAATTATCAACTCTACTCTTCTTCCATAATAATGTATCTCACTACTTGTTAATATTACCAACTTTTATCAGTCATGTTAATAAGCCGAGGTAGCCTTTAAATCAAAGGTCTATTGATTGCTATTCAGTCTGTATCTGATATATAAGTGTAAAGAACTATTAAGTTATATTTTTTAATGGTAACATTAGTTGTTACTAAGTATACCAGTAAACAAATGCTTAAGGTGAGCTAACATCCCAAAAAAAGCCTACTTCTATTACTGAAAAAATCTCAAAAATTATTATTAATGTGAAATACACCAAAAATTCATTTTGCCTATTTACAAAGTAATTTTAGAATCATGCATGCCATAATATTCCTAATTAAATAGGATTCTTAATACTTTTGATTTTTAAGTTCTGTATTGATTTTTATGACTTCTATTTTTTTATGTTATGCAGATAAATATATATGAAAGAGGATTTCGTTAGAAGGGAGTCTTACATAAATTTTTGATCTTATAGATATCAGTTTGTACTGAAGAATTTTTCAACAACAGATTAAAACTGGGTTTAGTATGCTGTGAAATTCAGTGCTTGAACTGACTCCTCAAAAGAGAGAAAAAATTTACCCTCCTTTGAGGTGAATTCAGAGACTTAGAAATTAGTAGAACCTTTGATTTAAAATGATATTTTTCCCTGAGGCATCAGAATCTCTATGGATATAATTCATTATTTTTCATAAAATGACAAAGGTACCATGCTATATTACTTTTGCTTCACTGTTTAGTTAGAACTCACATTCTCTCTTCAGGAAAAAAAAGGTACAATGGTACATTTTCTTTGTTTGCAATATTCTTAGTAAACATTTTTTATGGTAGTGTTTTCATTCTAGTTTTTATTTTAAAATTCTAGAATGTCTAGAAATTTACTATTTTTCATGTAGTTTGTCTACTAACTTGGTATTTTTAACTTCTAAAGTTGCAGTAATGTGAATTGGGCCAGAAGATCAGAGTGTAACATGTGTAATACTCCAAAGTATGCTAAGTTAGAAGAAAGAACAGGTAAGATAAAAACAGTCTAACTAAATGCATTTAAAAGAACTAAAAATTGAATTGACGGTTATATCATCTTAATATTAAGAGTATAGTAGTTGAGGATTCTTATCTATTCTGCCTTTATGTTTTTGACCTTGATTTTTTCCCCCCTCATACTCAAAAAAATCTTTGTTTTAGAATTTTACAATTTATAAAGTACAGCATTAGGAAGCTGTATCCTAAGAAATAATGATATTAGGATACTTTTAGAAATGTTTTATTTACTCTCTTTTCCCCCACTGGTCTAGATGTTTATTATTAGTAATAATAGAGTAATATCTTGCTTAACATAATGCTCTCCAGGTCCCTCCATGCTGTCTCAAAGGGTAAGAGATCCTTCTTTTTGACAACTGCATAGTATTCCATTGTGTAAATGTACCAAATCTTTTTTTATCCATTCGTCTACTGATGGGGACATGATCTCACTCATATGTGGAATCCAAAATAAACTGATGAATAAAATAGATCTAGAGACAAAGAAGCATGGAATCGACTGATGAATCTCAGGGAGGGGCAGGGGGGAACTCAGGAAGAGATTAACCAAAGAACTTATATACATATATATATAACCCATGGACACAGACAATAGTGCAGTGAAGGCCTGTCCTGGGGGGTGCAGGGAAAGGGGGGAACATTTATAGTATTTTCAACAATAAAGATAAATTTTAAAAATAATAATAGAGTAATATCACTTTTTCATTTATTTCATATCTTAGTATGACCAAAAAGGGGGCCAAGAGGCACCTTTTAAAGTAAATCTCTTTGGGGGTGGATCCCAGACATCTACAGGTGATTTGGATGGATTTTTGCCTAAATAACATCTTACTGTGTTGTCAATGGTGAGATGAAAGTATTTACCTAATAATATATGGTTTTCCCATTATCTCCAATTAGCCCAGCCACATCATCAGTATACTTCAAATCTGATTTTATTATTCAACAACTTATACATCATACAAAGGCTTCCTTCTGTATATAATCATCTTGTCAGACATAGACTTAATAAACTAAACTAGTTCCTGGTTTTGTTTTTTCCTCCCTGATTTTAAACCACTTTCACTATTTGTTTGGTCTCTGGAATTAGAGACCCAGTAAAGAATCTTTTGGACCTAGCCCTTCCAGAATTGCAACAGAAATTCTAGTTTAATTCCCACCCTTCACCTTTTTTTTTTCCCCCCCTCACTTGATTTTAGAAAGAGGGGAACACCGATTTATTGTTCCACTTATTTATGCATTCATTGTCTGCTTGTATGTGCCCTGACGTAGGATCAAACCCACAACCTTGGTGTATCAGGACAACACTCTAACCAAGTGAGCTACCCAGCCAGGACATTTTTTTCTAATTTGTGTTCTCACATGTGAGAACATAGCCTAATGTCCTAGTTGGGTTTTTTTTGTTTTTTTTTTTCCAATCCTCAGATCCCAAATCCTGCCCCACTCTTCTCATTCTCAGGAATTGATCTTGACTTTGTACTGATTATGTAGACTAAAACCTTCTAATATGGGTGGTTTTTTTCCTTCCCTCGCCTCTTTAAGATACACATTTTTTAAATCTTTTTTAACTTCCACACCTCTGGTGGTTTATTGTTTCCTTTTAGTTTCATCCTCTTCTGCCCTGTACCTGGCCACGGAATGTTGGGTTTTCTCAAGATTCAGTCCCTAAGCTGTCTTTGCTCTATTTTTTCTAGGCATCTTCTGAGCACGAAGTTGAACCATTGGCACACAATGATGCCTAAATTCATGACTTCGGCTCTGACTTCTTTGACCCATATATTCAGCTGCCTATTTATCATCACCATATAAATGTCAAACTCATTATATCTAAACTGAATTTACTTTTTCCCCCCCAGGACCTGGCCCTCTTCTAGTGATCTTTCTCGTGATTAGTACTACCTCTTACATGCTTGTTAGTGTAATCCAGAAACCTAGATGTCCTTCATCTGTCTTCTACCCAAGAAAGTCTTACCTATCACTACCCTGGGAAGAGATACCACTATATCTTGTCTTGAAAAAAATAGGCACCTAGTTGGTGTTTGTACACATTCCACTCCTGCCCAGTTAAAGCCAAAGATTTTTCTGTTTTTTGTTTTGTTTTTTCTAAACTAAAAATTTCATTTGTTTAAAACCATTATGATTGCTTTAGGATAAAGTCCAAAGTCTTTAATAACAGCTTTAAAAATTATAATTCAAGGAAGTTTTTTATCCACATTCTCTTTGACCTATTTTGTGATTCCTCCTTTAACTATCTCACAAGAGCTGTAGTCTTAACAACTGAAGTCCTCAAAGTTTGATACCTTCTCACTTTACTCATTCTTTTCTATCATTTGGCGTCTTGACCCTTTTCCACTTCCCTGGTTATAAGTAGTTTTCTTGTCACAGTTCAAGGTGTAAAAACTTACACTGTTGCTCTCCAATTTCTCTTTACTGTTTGTAATAAGGAAGTCCAAAGTTAGGGAGCATTTCCTAAGCTCCCAAACTAAGGGAAAGGCTGTTAATAAAAGAAAACTTGATGTACTGCTTCTAAAATATTGCATACTTCTGCATAATTCTATCAGATGGTTATATAATTACTTAGCCATTCTCTTATTTTTAGATTTTGGAAACATTTTTGCTTTTGGGTTTTTTTTAAACCATTAAGGATAACTGGAGTAGAAGCAGTCTTAATAACTGATTTTCATTCTTTTGATTTCTTTAAGTTAAATTCTCAGAAATTGGATTAATTAAATTGTTCAAAATATAGAATCTCAGAATTTTCAAGTTTGTACGTTGGTTCTTCGTTTGAAGTACATGTTATATTCATCCCCTTTTCTCTGTTCATTTCCATTGTCACAGCCCTATCTCAGGCCTGATTTAAACCTGTGTTCAATGCTTTACTGTCTATTTTTCACCTTTTTACATTTTACTGTGAGACAAATTTGAAAATATTTTTATTGTAACACCTATAGAGGTTCTGGGTTGCTTGTTTCATCTAAACGGCATTTTAGCCCTGGCCAGTGTGACTTAGTGGATGGAGCATTGGCCTGTGCACCAAAGGGTTGTGGGTTCAATTCCTGGTCAAGGGCATGTACCTGGGTTGCAGGTTTGATCCCCAGCCCCGATTGGGGGGCGTGCAGGGAGCAACCAGTCAATGTGTCTCTCTCACATCAGTGTTTCTCTCCTCCCCGTCCTTCCCTTCCACTCTAAAAATCAATGGAAAAACATCCTTGGGTGTGGATTAAAAAACACACACACCTCCCAAAACAACTGTATTTTAAAGCCTTCTTGAAAACCTCAAGTTATTTAAACGGTACTAGATTTGTGGTGTTTTCTATATTCATTCATTGAAGAAGTAATTTATTGGCCATTATGCAAGATGTTGGGGATACTTGGGTGAGCAAAACAGACATGTAGAGCCAAAGATTAATGAAGTCCTTTTAAGAAAACAGTGTGTTTGAGAAAGCGTTGTTTAAGTTAAGAAAAGATGAGTTACCCAAGTAACAAGTTGAAAGATCATTCTGAGTCAGAGCAAATAGCTTGTGTGAAGGTCCTGAAATTTGAAAGAATTTAGCATATTAGATGAACTAGTTAGCTCCAGAAAACACTTCAGAAATAAGGCAAAAGCCATGTAAATCATGATGTAAAGAGTTTATATTTTATTTTAAATTTAATGGAAAGTATCTGAAGGATTTTTAACAAGAGAGTAACACCTCTAATTTTTTTTTTTTAATATTGTTGGTTTGTAGAAAAAGATTGGTGGGGCAAGAGCAGAAACAAGAATACCAATTTTTACAGTATTACCCAACATGTTTCAAACCTATGGAATGAAGGAAACACATATAAACCATGCCATTGATGCCTCTAACTCACCTATTTTTCATTGGAAATGATATGTTCAAGTTTTGTCATGATAGAGACCTATATGTTTCGTGTATAGAGAAAGCAATCTCTTCATGAGATGGATTTGTTGTGTTGGTTCATATAACATACCTTAATAATCTCTTTGTTGTCAACAGATCATTTAGGTTTTTCTGTGGCCTGTATGAAAGAGCATAGCTTTGTATTTGCTATGATATTCATTTTAAAGTAATTTCTACTTACATACCTATGCAAAATTACCTATATGAGTTATAGTTCACTTTCTAAATCTTGGCTATAATTATTCTTTAGCTCTCCATTTTTGCCATATCATTTTTCAGCTGTAGATTACTAAATGACCCAGATCCCATGGGGTTTTTGGTTTTTTTTTACCTACTTCTAAGTATTTTGAAGTTTAGATCTTTACTGTTAGTCATCTCTTAGAATTTGTTGTTTATCAAACTACTCATACCTTAATCTTTAGGATGTACTGATACAATGTTAAATATATTTAGAGATAAAGTATATTGAATTACAACTTTCCATTGTGTTTGTAATCCAGAATTAATGTTGAATATGAGCTGTTCTCTTGAGGTGAACATAACCTAGTTGTGCTTGCTTCTGTCTTTTTATATATGATATTCTGAAAAACAACAGCCAAGATTTTACTAAGGAAGAGTTGTTATTGTTATTTAATATACTTTTTACTCATGTTATATGGACAGAAACAAAAGGAAATTCTTATGTTTTTCAATTGGAGTGCATATTGTCTTTGAATCAAGGTAGGAAGAGGAGGAAAGGGATGATATGCAAGTATGTTGAAGATAAACATGGCTACTTTGCAGTTTTTACTATAAAGTATAATTAAGAAAAGAAAGGATATTAATGGAATTTTTTTTTTAAGAAGATGATATGCTATTTTAAAAAGCGTATTTTAAAAAAAATCACTACAGAGCCGTTCTATTTGTGGCTATTATGAAATGATAATAGGGTAATGATCATTTTTTTAATGCCCATGTTTCATAAATTTAAAGTCATAAATCCTAAATTAAAAATATTTGTTTATAAGTTTAAACATTTTTCTGGTCTGTGAAGTCCTTAAATCTGGGAATCACTGGCCTTACATGCTGGTACTGCTTTGGAATATGTTAGATTGTGTTACTCTTGACCTCATACCTCTCAATTATTTTTCAGTGAGAGATTTACTCAAAATATCCCATCTCACTTTGTCTAAAACTAACTCACTTATTCCAATCTCTGAAGCCTATGTGAAAGACTTACTAGTCTAATTGTAGGTGTTAGCTGTGACATCAGTAGTTTGCTGATCTTGATTACTTTTTAATAGAATATTTTTAGTTTAAAAGTTAACTGGCTACTTCAGAGATTCTTCAGTGACTTTTACCTGTGTATTAAAATCAATTTGGATGTCTAGTATCATGTTACTGAATTTGCCTGTATAATTTGGAATTTTTCAAACTCTAGCTGCATTTTAGCCCAGCAAAATTTCAATATATCAAAAAAGACTGCAATTGGTAAACAGTGAAATTTGATTCTTGGTTCTTACTGAGCCAAGCTGGTACAGAAGAATTATGGTAAGCTACAGAGGAAAATCCTTTTTACTTTTTAAACTTGGTTTTAGCAGAGGTGAGATGTTTTTCACCCACTTATTTTCATGCATAGTTTATCTCTTTGCTTAAGGACACTTTGAAATTGAGAAGAGCTGAAAATAATAGCAACAGGACTTTGTAACTAAGTATCTCAAATTGAGACTTTTCTCTGTAGTGATTTTTTGTTAAATACGCTTTTTAAAATACTAGTAATTGTTATATGTACAGGCAAATCTCATGGTAAGGTTTTTCTTTTTTTTTCTGTTGCTTGGAGATGATTTTGAGATTTTTTTTTTGCTATTTTAATAAATTGTCAGGATAACAATTTATGCCCTTTTTTCAGGGTATGGTGGTGGTTTTAATGAAAGAGAAAATGTTGAATATATAGAAAGAGAAGAATCTGATGGTGAATATGATGAGGTAAGCTATGCATTGGTATGTAGGATGAATACAAATTAGAAAAACATGTTAGAAAATACCTTAAGTGCAAAGGAAAAATATAAATGTGTGTTATTTTTGTAAGTACACTTTGAGTCTTACAAAAACTTATGTAGGAAATCATAAGACTATATAATTGGCATAATGGACTTAAAATATATATTAATTTAAATACAAGTAATTTCTTAGAAAAAAGTGTTAATACATTTTTAGCTGACAGAAATATGAAACTTTTTCTCTAGTTTGGACGTAAAAAGAAAAAATACAGAGGGAAGGCAGTTGGTCCAGCATCTATTTTAAAGGAAGTTGAAGATAAAGAATCTGAGGGAGAAGAAGAGGATGAGGATGAAGATCTTTCTAAATATAAATTGGATGAGGTAAATGATTTCCTGGTTTCCCCTTTGTGTTATTTCAGCTGTGACATAACACATGAATGTTTTTGATGACCTTTGGCCTGTGGTGAAGATAGGTTCTGTGTACTGATTTGTTCTCTCAAAGGTTTTGAGCTTTCACTCTGCCAAGCACTATTCTGGCTCTGAAAATACAATAATGACTGAGACAGAAACACCCTTCTTTTAATGGAACTTAAATAAAACACCAAATAAAGGTTCCCTGAGTAGGAAACAAGCCAGCAACATTCAAAAAATCAACATAGGCCAGTGTGGTTAGAGCAGAGGTAAAAATGTGGTACGGCAGCGACCACATCAGGTCTGGTGATGTTTCTTCTGTGGGCCTGAGTGTAAAGTTTTATGGTTGGATGTATAGATCTAGATTAAGGTCGCTGTGTGGTTTCATCATAAGAGGCCCTTGAGTGCAACTAAACAAATCAATGTGGAACAATTTCTAAAGTTTTTAAGAAACATAAGGTATCTGACCTGTGCTGCAGAGTGATGACTCAATATACACAGGTGACCCTTGAACAGCGGGTTTGAATGGTGCAGGTCTGTTTATACAAGGATTTGGATTTGTTTTTCAGTGCATACTATAAATGTATTATTTCTTGTGATGTTCTTAACATTTTCTCTCTCGCTTACTTTATTTTAAGAATACAGTATATAAATATAATGTATAAAATGTGTTAACTGTTTATGTTTTCCTGTAAGGCTTTGGTCAATAGGCTGTTACTGCTTAAGTTTTGGGGGAGTCAAAAGTTAAGCACAGGAGGTTGGTGCCCCTAATTCCTGCATTGTTCAAGGGTCACCTTGAACAGTGAGATGTTGAGGAGACAGAATGGATTTTCTAAGTCAAAGAGGTCACCTAAAAGGTTACTGTAATATCAGTAGAGGAAAAAAATGAAATCCTAAGGGAGATGGATTCAAAGACTTTAATGGGAGTAAAATTGAAAATTCTTTACAGCTTACTTGGTACTAGTTTGTTACAGAAAAAGAGGAAATAAGTACTACTCTGTTTAATTCTTTGAAATATTTGGGATAGTCCTTAAGCTGCTAAGCTGAGCTAAGAAGTGTCATAGGCAGGTTTCAGGCTTGAGAATGAATTTGCTGAGATACTATGATGTGATGTATATCTATATGGAGATGTCAAGTACCTAGAGCTGTTCATCATTCCTAGTAGACAGCATTAATATCTAAATGTCAAGGATAATTAGTTCTGAATTTTTGTTAGGATGAGGATGAAGATGATGCTGATCTCTCAAAATATAATCTTGATGCCAGTGAAGAAGAAGATAGTAATAAAAAGAAACCTAATAGACGAAGTCGCTCAAAGTCTCGATCTTCACATTCACGATCTTCATCACGCTCATCCTCCCCCTCAAGTTCAAGGTCTAGGTCCAGGTAAACGGGTACAGGTCAAGGGTAACACCAGTCAAAATGTCAGTATCTAACTTCTTTATTTATAAATTTTGTTTTTATTGACTGAATAAGCTTTCCTTTTATTTTAGAGATTTTATTCAAGTCACCTTTTAAAAGATAATTTTTTCTTAGTGCTTTAAAGTTATTGTCCAGAATATTTTCAGAATTGCATATTTTAATATGAAACTTCCTCAGTCCATTTTCACCAGCCCTTTCATTAAAATAGACTAAAAATCTAGTTAAATCATTACATAAAGTACATTATCTAAATAGATAGATTACATTTAGAAATTTTTAAGTAAAGTTAAGATTTATCCTTTCACTGATTAAGGCTAGCATAGAAATTTTCTAGGCCTTAATTAAATTATTGCTTATTACACAGTGCTTTGATAATTTATTTTGTTATAGGTATCTGAATAAAGGAGAAAATTCAGTCATAAAAGTTCTATTGGCCTAATGCTTATAACTTTGAGATGTTCGAGAATAAATTAGAAGAGTCAATTGGTGGTATATTTGAATATTATTTTGTTAGTAATGTAAAATTTTAGTAAATATTTCCTGATTGCATGGTCAACAATAAAAATAAAATTTTAGGTGAGAAAAAGCAGTACCTTATATAAACAGTGTTCCCTTGAAAAATTCTTATTCACAGTTTCAGTGAGTCAACAACAGGCAATGAATTTTAATGGTATTTATGAAAAAATATTAGCTAATTGAGTACTTAACAATTGGTTAAAGCTTAAAAGAGTGATTGATTCTAAAGATAATAATTTTAAGGTGAAAATGTTATGTCCTTTAGCTGCAGGTTATTTTGAGGGACAAATTTAAAGGCGTAAGTTAGATTAGTATTGAATCTTGTTTCTTTTGTGATTTCTGAAATTTAAATGAACCTTATCTTCCCTTATGTCATTTTCCCTTATAATTATCTGAAACAGTGACAGGGTTGTTAATGTATTTCCCTTTAATTCTCTAACATTTGAGTAGGCAGAAAAATGTGGTTAAACAGACATACACAAGTCAACATTTAAAGCTTCAGACTAGATCGTGGCTAAGGAAATGGAAGGGATTTCATAAGGGAAATTAATAAATATTTCAGAGAAGTTAAATATAAACTGCAACATTCGCAATGCTTGGATATGTTAAGTCCTGGGTTACTTATAAATATTATTTGTACATGTAAGGTATTCAGTGTTAATAAAGTGACAATGCTGATGTTTTTATTCATATAATCTTGAATGATATTTAGAGTAATTTTGTCAAACTTCAAAAGTGATAATTGATTATTTTCAAAAATTACCTAGATCCTTAAGTTTTCGCATATACATCAAAACAAAAAATTACTTTTAAAATACTGTTTTTGAAAATATGTATCTCCAGTAGTTGTCTTATGAAAATGAATTCTAATGCATATATTTCTTTCAGTGTTCATATCACAAAATTCAATTAAGTGGTCCTGGAAAAAAAATCCTTCCATGTTGTTCCAGGTCCCGTTCAAGAAGTTCTTCCAGTTCGCAGTCAAGATCTCGTTCCAGTTCCAGAGAACGTTCGAGATCTCGTGGGTCGAAATCAAGGTGAATGAGGTAGCATCTCTCTGTTAAGCAGAGAGAAAAAAAAATATTTAAAGGCCCCAGAAGGGTGTTGCTGCTTTTTTACCCTCTTATTTTGCTTCTACTTGTCAATTTTATTTTAGCACTAGAAAACTAACGCACTTGCCTCGGCTTAATTTTCTCACCATGAGATGTTTCCATTGCCTGCAGTGTGCCAAGACATTCCCATGATTGAATTAAGGTGGTTATTTTGCATTGTGCAAGGTTTGTTATTTTTGTGCTAAAATGTGATGAAGTAGGAAGGTGGAGTCAAGTCTTATTACCAGATATTTCATAAGCTAGTTATGTTCGCAGTAGTACAAATAAAATTAGAGATACGCAAATAAAAAGGCAACATTTATTCTCATATTTAAAAGGAAGAAAAATAAGTTTGCCTCAAAACAGATTTTGTTTGCAAGGCAATTGTTTAAATATTTACAAAAAATTTTTTATATTAGGTAAAGTTTCTTTACCTAATATAAACAAAGTTTTTTATTTATATTAGGTAAAGGGGGATCTTATACATATTTTTACTTCTGTAATGTTACATAGAATATTATAAATAGTGTATGTAGAAGAGCCATTCCTCAGTTGGTTAGTCTAGGTAGAGTGTGGTCTTAAGTAATATTATTATTAACTTTAGGTTGCCTTTAATCATACAGAGGGCAAAACACTAAAAAACCATTTGAGACCCTAGTTTTTTCTAAACATCATCCAAATATACTGCCTTTTTAAGTTAATTCATTGATCTAGTAAAGGCATCTAACATGAATAAGAAAAGCCACTAAAGTTCCACTTGTGTAGAACTATACACTGAAGTTTAGTGGTATTTTCTTTGGTAAAAATAATGCCTTAATAGCTTATTAGAACCAAACCTGTAGCCTTAGAGGGCTACTGCAGTTTAACAACATTAAGAAGAAAAGAATGATAATGCATACTTGTATTAATCCAATACAAAGTAGCAAATGAGTTTATTGTTGTTATTGTGATGATGATATGTATTGTCAATGTTTTAGTCCTTTGAGTGCTTCTTAGGTGAAGCTAAGTCCTAGTTCCCTTTGGGAAGCACTATAATAAGGTTTACAGAACAGCCTTCATATTCTTTCCAAACATTTTTTCATTGCTTAGAACTTTCCAAAGAATTCTCCTTTTGGGCTTTCTAAGTTTATTTTAAGCCCAAAGGTGAATTTTTTGGGAAGTTTGAGCTAAATTACTTCAACCAAAATATGTAAAGGAAGAAAAAAATTGCATTTAAACATTTGCACGTTTACCTCTGCCTAAAACATGTGAATGTCAACACTTCATACTTCATGAGTAGTGGTCCTTCATAAAAATAAATACTGCTGATATAAATCAAGTTTTAAAGTTACTCATTTTATTTTTCTTTGAATATTTAGCAATTTAATAGTTACTGTTCTTTCTCATTTCTGTCCCCATCCCTGCTTTTTCTATAGCAACTTAACTAATAAGTTTCATAATTCCACTTTTTCTCAGGAAGTTGTATATATGACACATATTTTTTCTCCAAATGAAAGAATGTATCTACTAGACAAAACATGTAAATGCACAGTTTACTTGTTGGTTTTGCTGTTTATGTGTACTTTAAAAAGAAAGCCTTATGTTTTAAATAATTTAAAATTCTACTTTAACATATTAAGCTGGTTGTTAATTATAAGTGGTAAATACTTATCTTTGGATTTTAAAAAGAGATGACATTAAAGTAAATGTATTTAAATAGAATTGTTTTCATGGTTGAACCAGAAGTCTTCTATTGAGTAAGCAGTAAGTATTTCGTCTTATAAAATGTTCAGTTATAAATCCTGTTTGTTTTTGGAGCTGTTAACTAAATGATCTGCCTCATTTCTTCTTTTAATGAAATGTTTGATTTGTTTCTCAATCAATGAAGATCCAGCTCCAGATCCCACAGGGGCTCTTCTTCCCCACGAAAAAGATCTTATTCAAGCTCATCATCTTCTCCTGAGAGGAACAGGAAGAGAAGTCGTTCTAGATCTTCATCTGGTGATCGCAAAAAAAGACGAACAAGATCACGGTCACCCGAAAGGTTTGGGTTTCTGTAGAAATAAGAATGGGTGTTCTTAAGTGTGTATAATAGATTAAACTTCTAGTCAAGGATTAGATTTTTATAATCTTCTTTAGTTCAACTTTAAATTATACTTTTCAACTTTAAACTTCAAAAAGCATTAATTGTTTATTTTTGTGCTTTGATCAGATTGTTTAGAAAAGTTGTAGATCAAACCACTCTCTTCCACTATCTGTTCATTTTATTGTTTAAATATTTTCATATATAATTATAGCCAACTCTCGGTTATTTCTGTCTTTTAAGATTTTAATTCAGAAGCTGTATGTTGAAGTAATTTAGAAGTTGATTTTTATATGTATTTATGCTATAAACTTTTGCATTAAATATTAAGAGATCAGTATTCTAGAGTATCTAGTAAAAATAATAATTCTAGATCATTGGAAATATGTCCTCATTTAAATATGTGTAAATGCATTTTCAAAGCAAATTATCATTTCATGCTCTTTATAAGGAAATTGTTCTTATAGCTAATACATTTTTCGTCTTGCAGTACAAATCCCATTTTTTTCTTTTTGAGAGAGGTCTTTACTAGAAAGCGTTACCTATATTGACATTTTTAAATTTGGAGAGTTTGTCATCTGTCAGCCTTTTCTACAGCAGGCTAATTAATTAGTTTATTAACTTTCTTTTGATTTTCAGTGTCTAATTATACAGTTAGTTTAATGGCTTTCTTTGTGTTCTAGGCAAAATTTTTCTTATCCTTCAGCTTGTGAAAGTAAGGATTAGATAAAGTGTGATTATTGCTGGGTTCAGTAGTAGGATTACCTCATGATTCCTACTTGTACAGAATTATTAGTTTTGCTTCTTCACATTTTGAAGTTTAGATATTGAGGTTACACACAACTAGTCTTGTTTCTCTGCATTTGTATTTTTTGTTTTGTTTTGTTCTTTTGTGTAAAAAAATACCTCCATACTTGAGTGAAATACATTCTGTTGCTTTCTTACCACTTCTGCAAATTTTTATCTTAGCCACATATAATCCCCCTAGTTTGTTGTCATCTAAACTTAATGAACATGTTCTCTATTCCATAAGCCAGGTGATTGGTGAAAACACTAAACAACCCTGAGCCCAGGGCCAACCCCTCGGAACACCACTACTTTACCCAGGTTGATATATATTGACTTATTCATATTAGCTGCATGAATATAACCCTTTAACTAATTGTACAAGCATCTTGTGAGACCTAGATTTCCAAAATGTAATTATTTATGAATATATATTCTCATACACAGAAGCCTTGCTTTATCTGTTTTACATTTAGATTTACCACACTATCTACAATGTTATCACAGAGCTTGTATGCCTTTGTTTTATATTGTCTGTAATTTTTTACACATTTTTGCAAGGCTTTTTCTTTATTATCTTAAATAATTGAGAGGTGGCTATATCTTAAAATGAGAGATTTTTTAATTATAGAGAATTTTAAATTATATTATTACTGGGCTCACATCCAAGGTCTAAACACTAGTTAATTTTATGTGTACAAGTTTGTATCTTAAGATTTATTTTTATTTTTTTGCCAGTAAGCTGGAGCTGGATATCATCATTCATTCATAAAACTCTGAGAATATTAAAAAAAAAAAAAAAAAAAAAAAAAAAACCCCANTTTTTTTAATATTCTCAGAGTTTTATGAATGAATGATGATATCCAGCTCCAGCTTACTAGACTACCTGCTTTCTCCATTATGTCTTGCAGGCACCACAGGTCATCTTCTGGATCATCCCATTCTGGTTCCCGTTCAAGTTCAAAAAAGAAATAATGTATTAAAATTTACATCTTTAAAAAAAAAAAATCCAGTACAGTGCATGAAGCATATTTTTTAAGAAGTTGGTGTCTTACTTGGTCAGAAGTGCTAAATCTGCTAGTAGAGGTGCATGCCTTTCATTGCTTTTCAGAACAATACAGCTGTGTTTATTTGTGAAATTAAAAGTAAACAGTATTTTAAGCCATAATGTCCCAAAATAGATGCTCTCTATCATTCTTTATTTACAACCATTTATTTAAAACCATCTCAGCTATAACAAAGTACTTTGTTTTTTTGGTGTTTCTTTTTTGTTTTGTTTTTTACTTTGTTTCCTAATTTGAACTGTTGTTTTTCTCATATCCAAATCGGAATTGTTTATTGACTTAAGACAAGATTACCTTAGACTTGCCTGAACTTTGGGCATGGAGGCAAGACTGTGGTGAAGTAGTTGGAAACAGTCTTTATGTTAATCTGAGAAAAAGAGTCAGCCTGGTTATGTTAACCTATGTCAAAGTGATTCTTATCAGAAAAAGTTAAACTAGTTGTAAAAGAGTCAACTGGAAACTTCATTTTTAAATTCCCTATGCTAAGGGTGCCTTAGAATCTGTCTTTTATTCAGTTTTACTTTTTGCAAAATATTTAATGCAGGAAAATCTCGTGAATTGTAGGAGAAAGGTGTTACTCATTTCTCACTATCTGACATAATTTTGAGCAAGAGTATCTAACAGTTCATTTCTAATCTGCTGATATGGTTGTCTGATGAGAAAAACATTTCATTTCAAACTGTTTATCTTAACATTTTGAGAAGCTTTTTGTGATATCCTTTAAAAATCCAGGGTAGACAAAGCTAAATTATAGTTAATGAAGAACAAATTGAAGAAAACTGAAGTATAATTCTCTTCAGGTGAAAGACCAACAGAGACATTGTTAATTTAAGCGAACATTTGCCGTGAAATGTTTTAACTTTAAACACACTGCATAAAATTTTCTTCTGAGTGATAAATGAATGTTTATTTCTGCACCACATAAGCAGAAATAATTGTTTCTGTTCACTTGAAATTACTTATGGCTTAAAATACTTTCAGAGTTTCTTTTATTTCTCCAAATTAAAACCTGGTCACGAGCTTTATTATGTCTTCTGGTTTAAAAACAAAGGTTTTTTTTAACAGTATCTTCAATGACAATGCAAGGTAAGTATATTAAGGAAAATCAACAGTTGTGCTTGGGGACTTTTTGTCATGGGGATCAATACCCATTATTCTTGTTCTGTTTTTTGTGTTTGTTTTTTTTGTGTTGTTTTTTTCAAACTGATGTCTCCTGCAATTAAAATGTTTTAAGGTATTTTGTAGACAGACCAAACAAAATTATATTTGTTTGTTTTTTTATTTTAAAATGAGTGATTTTTTTCCTCTTCAACTGATCTAAAGATGAAAGCAAAATATCTTACGTAGAAATATTTTGATAATATTTTTGCAATGAACTTGCCCCTTGTTTTTTTAATGTCTTAATTTTCTTTGCTACATTTACTGTAGTTTGCACAAGAACTTTTCTCTCTTGTAATTGTGCCTCAGACTTCTTGAAAGTCCACCTTCTAAATTGCCCAGATGATCTTTTAGATTCTACGTGTTACTGTTGGTTTATTCTTGTGCTTTCTGTATTTAAAACTTTGGCTGTACTAAGCAAATGCAAGATTATAAATTTAGCTAATAGTAGTTTACAGACAATTCAGATGATTATGATTTCATTTGGTTTAACTAAGCTGTACCTAGTCCATTTCATAAGGAAATGATGCTATAGACAAATGTAAATAAAGCTTGTGAGTCAAGCATCAAGTGGTGTTTGTTAGAAATAAATTAGAATTTTTAAACTCTGATTTAATGTTCATTTTTCAAGCTATTTGCAGTCTTGTTTGTTACTTTTCATTGAGCATTTTAAACTCTATATTCCCTTAACCCTGTATATAATGTCATCTTATTTTTATATAGGAGTGCTTGGTTTAAAACATTACAAAGTGTTATCACTATCACCTTGGGGACTCAAAATTTTTGTGACTTTCTTTTAAAATGTAGATTACCCAAATTAGTTTAACATTTTTTACCAGAACATTACATACCTATTTCATAGCACACCATAGTGTACTTCCTGAATAACTCTTATCACTTTATAGCGCTCAACAACTGTCCCTTTTAATGGCTAGGTTTTCTTAAGTTTCTATTTGCAGTCTTCATCAAAGTCAGAGTAAGCCCTAAATGTAAGACCATCTCTAGGCACAGTTATGAAGATAAAACAAGTCTTATCTCAAAACAAGTTTCCTGTCTCATCTCTTCTTGCTGTGTGGCATCCACAGCCTGTCTTGTAGATGTTGGTAAGAAGACAGGGGATTTCTCCATTCTGGCCCCTCTTTTTGACATAATTGTTAAATGTTTTTTAAATAGAAATAACCTTGTAGCTTTTCTGAAATGGAAATTGTATAATTTTTGAAAAATAAGAGTGGACAGTTTTAATTGAAAGTTTAAGATATGTAATGAGTGGTTTACAGGAATTATTTAATTCTCTCTGTCGCCTTTACATACTGTTATATATCCCCTGTTTACATAAAAGAGGATTACAGCTTAAGGAAATTAAAGACTTGCTCAAGGGAGCCACACGTGTGGCTGAATGGGGATTCACCCCCAAATCTGATGCCAAATTTCATTCCCAAATAACCTGTTTGAGAAGATAACATTAAGCCAGAATGGTCAGATGTTTTTTAATCTAGTGATTTAGAAAGGTAATAATTTCAGTTATGTATGGGAAGATAGGTAGACAGACATATTTTGGTAGAATACCTTAAATTTACAGAAAAGTTGTGAAAATTATACAGAATTCCCATAAACTCCCCACCCGGTTTCTACCATCGTTAAGATATTACCATGTACTTCTGTCAAAACTGAGAAACCAGCATTGGTATATTACTGTTAATTACAGTTCAGATTTTATTTGAATTTTTACCATTTTTCCATTACTTTGTTCCTGGATCCAATCCAGGTACCATACTCATTGCACTTAGTTCAGTTCTTTCTGGTCTGACTTTTTTTTTTTTTTTTTTTAATTTTTTTTTGCTTTTGATGACTGACCATCTTGAGAAATAGTGGCACAGTATCCTGTAGAATGTCCTCCCATTGTAAGTTTGTCTATATTTTTTCTTGTGGTTAGTCTGGGGTTACGGGTTTTAGAAAAAATACCATAGAGGAAAAGTGCCCTTCTTATCACATCATACCAAGGATACATGATATCCATATGACATCACTGGAGATGTTAACCATCATTTGGTTAAAGTAGGAATTGCCCTAATACACTGTTGTAGTTAGTTTCTTTCCTCTTACTCCATTTTTTGGTAGCAAGTTACTTAGTCTACCTTCAGAGTAGGAACAGGGTGGCAGATTAAATGCCGTCTCCTGTTGGGGAGGGCTGTCTACTCATATCTGGATACTTCTATAGGAAAGACTTGTCTACTTATTTATATATCTGCATGGATTCATGCATATTTATTTTATACTTTAGTTCATAGTCCAGTGCAGTGTTATTTTATGTGTCAAATTGTTCCAGCTTTAGAGACTGGGAGCTCTTTCAGGTTGCCTCCTATGTCTTGGACATGCCTCCATTCTCCAGTAGAACAAAAAGTAAATGATGCAGAAAAGGAAGAATTGTTAGGTTCATCAAGTGGTTAAGGGAGTGGAATCTAGCACTGTGGTGGCGGTGGTGGCTTCAACCTTAAATAGGAGCCTTGACAGTTAATTATAGTATCAGGAGGAATGGATCCATGTAGTGTTAGAGCCAAGTTTGTAGTCAGTAAGAGTGACCAGTAAACACGTTACGATTTTCCCCACAGCCACACTGAAGCACATGGGTGCTTAAAAGGTGTAGCATTATACACAGAAACAAGATAAATGCGATAATAGTTCTTAAATGTCTCTTAAAAATAACAGGTACTAGCATGAGAAAAATACTTGTAATCAGGTAAATTCCTAAATCCTTTAATGAATGGAAAAAATACATCTAAGAAGAAGATCTTGAGGAAAGCTATATAGCATTGCCCAATAAAGTAAAAAGATAGGGATTTAAAACTAAAAACGTGTAAGACAACTTCTTTCCCCTCACCTCAATCTAGTGGGAGAACACTCCATAGAATTTTTCATAGTAGAAAAAGTCTGATCAAATCGGAAAAATCAGTTTTGTGTAAATGAAAAGGCGAACCTTTATAGATGAATACGGTGACATAATTTGTGACGGTTCAAGGTTTGATCAGATCTTTAGGGGTTCCAAAAATAACCTTGGCTATGGGAAACTTTGGAAAAACGAGGGGACTTCATGATAATACTGTCTGAATTCAGCTACCACATTGAAAACTGATGAGGTAAAGACCTTTTGTACTCCCCCCCCTCCCCAGAATGAAGCATCTGTAGCCTATTAGTGGAGTCATCACAAAGGCTGAGTACCTCCAACCTGAATGTAACATGAAGTTTGCTTTAATGGGTGTGATCCAGTTTAGAATTGGCAGTGATAATTTGATTTCTACCTATTTTCTTCCCCTAGAGTCAGAGTACCTGATTTTAGTTTTTCATGGTAGCTATATGACCCCAGGCATGTTCTTTATTCTTGGCACATAAGTATATAGCAGCAAATATTGGCTGTTATTTTTACCCCTTCCTCATGTCTTTAGGTATTTCATATATACTAATACTCAAATGTTTATTTCTCATGTATTCCTTTCTATAGTACCAAATCTGTATCTCTGCCTACTGTGTATCTATCTCCCTTTAAACAAATGTCAGTTTCACCACATCTTAATTCCCTCAGACTATCTGCCCATCAAAACCAATATTATATTTCATATCAATAAACAGCATTATCAGTAACTTGGGAATTTTTGTTTTCTGTTTCCTCTTTCTAATTAAATTCATTGGGGTGACATTGGTCAATAGGAGGGAATTCTTAGATTTCTCTTTTGCTTCTCCATTCTAAACCAGGTCTGATTTACTTAGAATTGATAGTTCTACCTCAGCCCTCAAACTCACACTGCTCCATTACTACCGCCACTGCTTTGGTTTGTAGCCTAAGATGTTACAGCTGCCTGCCTAAATGGTCATTTGGCTCCCAGTTCTGTCTGGCAAATAGAATGTTTTCCGTAGTGTTTGCTAAATTAATTTGTTTCACCAAGCATTGATTCTGGAATGGTCTTGTTAACAATCAGTTATGTTTGTCGTTTCCTTCAGTGTCTTTCCGTGGCTTTCAGAATTAAACTAAAATTCTTTTATGTGTCAAAAAGGTCATAGTTGTTGGTTTGTTATTAAGTACTGGTACCTCCCCACCTCATCCCCTCACACCCCAAATCTAGTATACCTGGCACACATGAACCAAGCTGAACTACTTGTGATAGACTCTCATTGTTGTACAAGTTTTCTATGACTTCAATACCCTGCACACGCAGCACTATCATCCCTTTCACACTTGGCCTTCATGACTCAATTCAGAATACTAGGATGCCATCCCTGGTACCTCTGAGTTGCCATAGGAATTAGGTGAATTTCTTGATTGTCCTCTTTACCCAGTATTCCTAGCCCTTGAAACAGCTTGTCATAGTAAGCAATAAATGTTATATTTCTCAAGGTTTCAATAGGTTGTATTTTTCCCCCCAGTACTAATAAAAAATAAATGCTTGTTCTTGACCAAAAATGTTTCTTATTCCTGGAGTTTTTATTCTGATGTAAGATAGACCAGCATTAAAACCAGGAGTTCAGAGTGGAGACTTGCAATGCCCCTGAGTTGAGGACGGAGGAGCCAGCACAGTGTCAATGAAAGAAAGGCAAAACCTAAAGGTTCAGAAGTTTATTTGCATCCAGGCTGAGGGCCAGACCTGAAAGCATAATCTCAAAGGATTGAGAAATGCTTCAAAGAATAGCAGTTTTGCCGATCATTTTATACATTAAAATCAAAGGGATAGATATAAGGTTACACGAAATCTTTTGCTGGTAGATTTGGGGGGTGTGAGAAAAGAAAAGTGGGGAAATTTCTAGGATCGGATAGAAATGAAGGGTATATACCAACTTTTATATTGGTTGGCACAGGATAGTTGTAAACATTTAACAATTAACTGATTGGAGACGGTATCCGACAAGATAACTAGGAGTTTCTGTGTCGTCCTCATGCTCTGTTGCCAGTGGGTCTGTTTTTGAGGGGTCTGGAAAAGAAAAGCACTGACATTTTAAAGGTATGTTGTCCTAGATACACAAGAACAATAGGTCTTTAGCATAAAGTAAAGGTTAACCTTTTTCTAAG